AATTATGAGTCACCACACTTGCTCGCCCTTTCAACAGTGGGGGGGGGGGTATAATGTGACGGTCAATCCCACTATTCGTTGGTAAAAGAGTAGCCCAAGAGTTGGCAGTGGGTGATGATGACTAGCCGTCTTCCCTCTAGTCTTTCCCTCCTAAACTAGGGACGATAGCCCTCGTGTAGCTTTGCGCGAAATTAAAAAACAAACAAGTAATTTAAGTATGCTAAGTGCGTGATTTGAAGGTTAAGCTGAAATATTTTCTTCCTCAATTTTGGTTATTGTACCACCACACTTTCATATGTAGTTTTTTATATAAGCCATTTTTAAAAGTACTTACACATTTAGATCTTTTATTATTTTGAAATAATATAAAAATTCTGAAACTCAAGAGTAATAAAAAATATGTTTCTTTAATTTTCTTAGATTGTTTCAAAATTACGATCTTATATAATGACAAATATTTATTGGCGTTTTAAGTCATTGTTATAACTGTGCGAAGAAACAAACTTTTTGACATAACTCTGTAATGTATAATTTTAAACGCAAGCTCTCAAGTTCATTTATGAGTGTCGTGACGAGAAAGACAGTTTTAACGTTTATATGCAATGTTGTCGGGTTTTTTTCCGCCCTTAGGACAGGTCGATAATTCTTTGTCAGTTTTTTACAGTATTATATCCTCAGTGGTGCATGTAATACACAGATCATTTATTACCCAGTGAGACACCAAGATAGGTTTTTATCCTTTTGTTGAATTTATTAACTGAGTTTATACATCTCAATGTATATATATTTGTTATCTCAGTGTAACCGATACAGCATTACATAGTGATTGAATAGCAACTTGTATGATAGGAGCCAGTTTTATCAGTTGTATAATATACTTCAGACATAGTAAAAACTTCCTTTGGACGTCTTTGTTCAAATGAAATAATGTCCTAGACAGCATATCGGTCAGTGTCAACTCACTCAGAATGGAGTGTATATGTTACTTCTTTCAGTTTCCCAAAGGACTTCTGCAGAAAACGTGGACGCTTTGGAGCCTCTAGTTCCGTTATGGATTGAGATATAAGACCATGATTTTGCAGCTTGAGACAGTGCGTTGTTTTGTTGGTTCTACTTCGACCTCACAGTCTTCAGCGATGTCTGCCTGGGAAGAAAGATGTCAGTCGACTTCTTCATCTGTCTGTTAGTTTTAGAAGTTTGGGATTATTTTGTTTAATAGTGTATCAAGAAAGTCGTTTTCAGTATATGTTGAACGTTGTATTGTTTTATTATTTTTATTAGTTGAACGAACCAAGAAGTCAAATGAAGACTGGAGTATACATTCAGAAACAGGGTTTTCCTATCTGTATGGGAGCAGCGGTGAAAGCCAAATCGACGGTGGTAAGTTTACTGAAGACTATATTATGTGTGCTGTTTTTGTGACAATAATTTATTGGAAAGTTAACAAAAAAAATTGTAATACCTGTCTTAAAATTTAGGGTGATATTTAGAGCTAATTAGTTAGTAAAGTTTTTGTGATTTTCTTATAGTAAACTTAATTTTTTCTTATATATATAGTGAAGTTTTGATTTTAAATTGGTGTCGTATAGTTATATTTTAAAATAAAAGTGGTTTTTCAATTCGTGATATTATCTCTTGAATGTTTTATTCTATATAAAGTTGTTGTTTGTTTTGGTGTCTTTTAAATCTCTTCATCAGCCATTTTGTGATCGAGAACTTGTTATTTTCAGGAGAGAGAACCGCAGTATCTTTCCGGTGTGAGCCCAGTCGAGATCGAATAGAAAGTGAAAGTGAAGATTGTCAGGCATTTCACACGGACAATACTTCAAGTACCATGGATGACCCTAATCTGTAAGTGTTTTAGGTTTCATTCACCGTAATTTAAACTTTGTTTAGGTCACATTTTGGCTTCACTGACGATTTATTGTTAATTATTTTTACCTTCGCCACCGCAAGTGGACAGAGGTTATGTTTTCACCCCTATGTGTGCGTTTATTGTAAAGATTTTTCGAAAACGGCTGAATGGATTTGGACTATGACCTAACTTAGAAGTGATTAGGTTTCGGAAGGTCAAGGTCACGAAACTCCAAAATTTCCCTACCTGTTAACATGGGGGCCAGTTTTCACACATGTTTGCTCTATAACTCAGTCAAGAATGATCGGATTTTGATGAAACTTGATGGACATTTGTAGAGTATTATTACTCATTTTGCTGGCAAAAAATAAACCGTGTCCGTTGATAACGACGGACATACGGACACATTTTCGTATTTTTTTGAGAGTCAATTGTTATGAACGCTGTATACGCTCTACTGAGTGCCCCTCATGTTTTTATAAAACACGAATTACCCCTATTCTCTTCATCTATGACATATAAAACTGTGTACTTAGCATTCAGCTAAACATGTGGGAAGTCAACATGATCTTGTTTTGGTCTTTTGTGGATATTTGAAACATAAGCTACTTTCGGTACATTGAGTTTGTATATCACAATAGTTTTTTTTTCATTTTCTCTCACTGCAGAGAATAAGTAATAACGATAAGGGTGTTGTTTAGAGTAAGTAACGGTCGGTGTGTACGACTGAGAGTTAACCTGCCCGACAACGCTTGACCATTCCTAAACCCCGTGAACATGACCTTCTCCAGATAGTTTAACGGATGTTAGGAGGGTGCCCCAAAATCATAATATTCCAGAAACCGTTGCTGTTGTTAATACTTTGTTTATGGATACTTTTAAACTTCAAAACCGTTGCTGTTGTTAATAGTTTGTTTATGGATACTTTTAAACGTTAAAACCGTTGCTGTTGTTAATAGTTGGTTTATGGATACTTTTAAACGTCAAAACCGTTGCTGTTGTTAATAGTTGGTTTATGGATACTTTTAAACGTTTAATTCTTGAATTTTTAGAATGTGAGCAATATTGTTGTATTCTACACAATATTAACGTTTAGAAGTATCCATAAACAAACTATTAACAACAGCAACAGTTTTGACGTTTAAAAGTATCCATAAACCAACTATTAACAACAGCAACGGTTTTAACGTTTAAAAGTATCCATAAACAAACTATTAACAACAGCAACGCTTTTGACGTTTAAAACAAACTGTTAACAACAGCAACGGTTTTGCCAGAAGATTTAGTTAACCAATTACGAGACCACATTAGGCCATGCACAGGTTAATGTATTATTTTGATTAGGAGAGAGATTTTGTTGACCCTCTGCTGGTATCGAATAGTATGAATGGACTTAGTAATTTGAGTGAAGCCTATTCAAGAGCCTTCGTTATAAGAGAGTTTATTAATTAATTATTTTTCACTTGTAACTGCTACAAGAAAATCTACATGTGTAGTTAGGGATAGCATCTTTAGTAAACTCTAGTTGTTCGTTCATTTCAGTAAATGTTTTAGTAGAATACCTAAAATTATTCTAGAGAAAGTTACGATATGATTAGGCTTCATCATTACATTTGATAACATTTTGGTCTATAGTTCAGAAACGTGTGCCAAAAGATCTATAAGCTATTGACTAAATAAGACAGAAAAATTCAGAACGAAAGATAAATTAAATTATTGGTTTCAGCGTCAAGAAAGGCAACTCCATTGGTCGCTCGGAAAGCTTTCGTCAGCAGGTGAGTTTTTTTTTGATGACATTTGAATAGATGAGTCCTGGTATTTGGCAAAAGGACTCGTCGGCATTTTATATAACAAAGATGGTGTAGTTGATATAGTGTTATACAATATGTACTTTTAATTGGATCTCGTTAATAATATATCACTAATTAAAAAAAAATACTTGCAGCAATACTAGATTTTTAAACATTTTGACTAAAATTACGAAGTGTTTTTTTTGCTTACGGGCCAGGTGGTTAGGGCGCTCGACTTGTAATCTGAGGGTCGCGGGTTCGAATCTCCATCACATCAAACATGCTTGCCCCTTTTAGCCATGGGGGCGTTATAATGTGACGGTCAATCCACTATTCGTTGGTAAAAGAATAGCCCAAGAGTTGGCGGTAGGTGGTGATGCCTTCCCTCTAGTCTTATACTGCTAAATTCTGGACGGCTAGCGCAGATAACCCTCGTGTAGCTTTGCACGAAATTGAAAACTTAACCATTTTTTGCTTACTATTTAACTTGATTGTTTACCACGTGATCAAGTGACTGAGTAAAATAACTAACGTATTATATTTTTTATCTTAATTTTGTTATAAGACAAAAATCATGGGTAAGACAACTGATTAGTCTTGCTGATGGTTCGAATATCCTCGATACGAAAATATTAAGATTTATTTGTTCAGGGTGAGATAAGATATCATTTCATTCAAACAGAGTTTCACTAATACATGTAAAATAAATAATTTAACCTGTATCGGGGTTTGTAAAAAATTGAGATTTTAAATATAACATTATATATTAATTGTAGTATGTACAGTAACGTTTGAGAATGTATTGTTATCCATTCGTGATTGAAATTTCTGAGATTGTAGAAAATAAATAAATAAAAGAGGGTTTTTGTAATTAGTAGTTGAAGTGATTTTATTTAATACTTTTTTACCTCAGTTACGGAAGGTGGGTGGAGGTTATGTTTTCACCCCTGTGTGTATGTGTGTTTGTCGGTAAGATTTCTCGAAAAAGGCTGAATGGACTCGGGCGAAATTGGTATACACTTGAACTATGACTCAACTTAGAAGTGAATAGTTCTTGGAGGGTCAAGGTCACGAAAATCCAAACTTTCCGTGACTTAACGTGGGGACCGATTTTTCACACTATGATTGCTCTATAACTCAGTCAAAAATGATCAGATTTTGATGAAACTTGGTGGACATTTGTAGAGTATTATTCCTTATTGTCCTGCCAAAAATGGTTCGTGTCCGTTAGTAACGACAGACATACCGACACATTTTTTGTATTTTTTGAGAGGTATATACTCTACTGAGTGTCATCTAATTCCTGCTATTTCCTTCGTCCTTCAAAAAAGCCCGGCATGGCCAGGTGGTTAGGGCGCTCGACTCGCAATCTGCGGGTCGCGGGTTCGAATCCCCGTCACATCAAACATGCTCGCCCTTTCAGCCGTGGGGGCATTATAATGTTACGGTCAATCCCACTATTCGTTGGTAAAAGAGTAGCCCAAGAGTTGGCGGTGGGTGGTGATGACTAGCTGTCTTCCCTTTGGTCTTACATT